GCGTCAGTAGATATTAATTAATGCGTGAAAAGAGGTGCACGAACCCTTTAATTTAAACTGAGAAAATGAAATTAGTGTTCAATATATTTCTTTGTCATTGTTTACTCGACTTAAGTTTAAACATACAAAAGTCGACCGCCTCCGTGGTCGCAGGGTTAAAGTCGATGACTTATCATCCAGTTACCTCTATGGCGTGGGTTCGATCCCCGGGAGATGCTTTAGTAGTTTAGCGCGGAGGAAGGTAGTCTGGTAGTCTAGTACTGGTGTAACTCTCCAGAAACGATGGTTAGGAAACTACCCGCCTATATGACTGAAATACTGTTGAAAAAGGCGTAAAATAAAACAAACAAACAAACATATAAAAACTATTCGGTTTGGCATTGCTGTTTTGTGAGTATATATATACTTCTTTAATTTGTCTATAAACTTGTCTATATGATATAATTGAACACACCACGATGTAATTCAAATATGTATAAAACACATACTGCCTGTGCATATCAGCAACACCTGACAGAGATGTTTCATTGCTGCTTCTTTCAGGTGATTTTTGAGGCATGCAGGAGAAAAATCCCTCCAAAAATGTGTTAGAACACGTGACATTGTAGGAAAATCCATTCTGTAATACTAGAGATCACAAATTGTTAATAGTACAATACATTTACAACACATTGCAAACAGAACTACTCAATAAACTATGCAATACATTGTATAAACTGGAAAATGTAAATCATATTCAAATGATTTATTATAATTATAAACTTTCAAAATTTGCTCAATTTTAACTGAGAAAATATAACAAAATAAACATTTACGATTTAAAGATTTGAAAAAAAAATGTGAAAACACTTTTATCAGTGTATTCGAAAGATTACTTTTTATAGCTATTTATTGTTTGCAAATTTGATATCCGATTTATATAGTGATAAAAGTGAATAACACATAGTATGTTTCAAGTGTTTGCAATGTATATCAAGAATACACTCACTTGTTGCTAGCCAACTTGCAGGCTGGTCACCGTCACAGAATATTGACCATCGTTCAGCCAGGATTTCTCTTAATTTGTCTTGTTCCTCAGGACATATGTGTTTGGCTGTACAATTGGCACATTTGGAGTATTCAGCGTAATTGCTATAGAAGTAGAGAAAAATTATTCCATATATTATAACATCTTTATATTCATGCACATGTTTTATTATATTAAATTCGGTATAATGCAACATTAAATTATTAATCAGAACTTTATCTAGATTAAACTCGTGCATGGTATGATTAAAAGCATGCAAAGACTATGCAAATATACATATTTTGATGTTAAAAGTTTTACAATTATACAATTTGTGAAATAAAGATTCATGGCATTTCATAATCGGTAAAAAGTAATATAACATTGAATATATGTTACTGCCAGAATGACAAAGAGCAACGACAGAATAAAAGTTAAAAATTAGAGAGTCTGTTCTATACGGTGTTGTTTTGTTTTCATGAGCGATTATAGAATGTATAGCATACGCCCACTAGCACGGGCTTGATCAGTATTTAATCTACAAAATTAGTCTTCGAATCATTCATTGATCCCTGCAGCAAAACATAAACAACACCGAGATGTAGAACCGAGAAACTTTTTACAGCTTTCATACAGCATTTTACACGGAGATCTCTCAAGAGAAATAATAACATAGTAAATAGATAGATGAATAGATGGGGTTTAAATTATAAAGTTATAAAGTTATAAAATAAAAAACACTTTATAAACAAACCGAGTCTTACCGAATCTGAACCTTTACAATTTTGTCTTTTAGAGATTTAGTTTTGACTTTAACATGTTTAGTATTTTACACTTTGCTGAGAAAGGTGTTCAGTAATCGTTGACACTTTTGTATGTTATATGGTTTTTATAAGCTAGAAACCAATCAACACAGTTGAATATCTGATCTGGTTTAAGAGAAAGAAGTTTAATTAAGATGACACAAACTAGAGGGAAATAAATAATTTTTAAATGGAGCCCAAAACGACAAAATTGAAAATGCAGGTTTCAATTTATTTGTGCCTGTTTATGGACGGTCTAAGATTTTCACGTCATAAAATTTACGGCATTTTTATTCGTATAATGTATGTAGAGATCATTTTTACTATAACAGTTAAGATTACAACACAGTCAACAATGACATCAATCCTTAGAGGTCAACCAACAAAGCAAAACAGAAAATGATGCAGGTTCGATGTGATTGGTCCTTTTTATAAAAGGAAGTGATACATGTTCAAGCAACTGTCAGTGCCACCCTATCACCGTCTAAACTAACATTTATAATTTAAATATCAATTTTGTTTTCTATTTCAAATATAAAAGGTGCAAGTAAAGTAAAATAAATGCCCTTAACAACCTGTATATCACAGACGATTATGTTCTAATAGCGTATTGTGACGCTTGGTGTATTGTGTTGTTTTCAACATGTTTTACTTTAAAGACTACAATATCAAAAGAACAATTTTCCTTATAAGTTATATCTGAAATAAGCTTACATAATTCTCATGGCATTATCTAAATTTGAATTGCTGATATGATCAATTTTATGTGATTAATTACCTGCATGTTGATGTCAGCCTCTCCAGAAACACGCCCGACTTGATCTCACCACCAGTTTCTAGATCAGTAAATATATCACCCAGATACTGTTTTCTCTTACATGACTCCTCATATCTTTTAAGAATCTTTTTATAATGGCAACTGCTTCCAGTTACAGTGAATTGTCCGAGTAGACTCGCAAACACTGTAGAAATAAAAAACGAATCATGTGATAGCACATATTAACCGTGTCATTACAAAACCAACTTAGTGCGTTTGCGACCATTATGGATCCAGACCAGCCGGAACATAATGTTCGCTATCAGTTTCTCCTCTTATAATAGAGTTTGTAAGCGAACAGCATGGATGCTGATCAGACTTTGCGAATACGCAGGTTGGTCTGGATTCATGCTGGTCGCAAACGCAATGTTGGTTTTGTCATGGCACGGCACATATGGTCTTATTCGAGGCAGTATTTATGTATGAAAGATTGTTAAATATAAGTTTAATTCTCTAAGGCGAAAATGTGAGTTTTGTTAAAACACAAACCTTTATTTGACAATCTTACATATATTGTTTTTTGCCTTAAAACAATTAAATTCTAACACAGATAATCAAAATGTCTTATTTTATGGGTGTTTTTATGATGCGTTCGACTGTAACTATACATTTGACAACCTAATTACATACTTCGCCCTTTCTTCGACGTGGGTAGTTATAACTTTTAAACTGTTTATCGGGTGTAATGTGTACAAATTAACATAATACAATGACGATAAGACTAATAATCTAGATTAGCATTCATTCTATTCAAATATAATATACCCCATCAACTAGCCTGGGATTCAGGCGTTGATATGTTTTGCTTATTCATAACTTATGCACTATTTCATATTCGATCGTGTTTTGAAAATTGCCTAACATAAGCACATAAAAATCAACAGACTGGAACCCAGACTACCACCAACCTAAACGCATGACATAAAACTTAAATGTTTAATGACTTTCTTAGGGACCATACGCCGCTTTTCATGGAATGGCACGGAAGTGTCACATTGAAATTTCCATGATAACCGCCGTATGAACACATCTGCGGACGTTTCTAAATTCAAAATTTTACCATTTCATGTTTAAATGTTGAATTCTGCTTAAGCCGGTGCTAGGGTCTTTGACGGTAACTTTCCCTTTCCGATACCGTCCATGAACAGGCTCAATCAAACCGAGCCTGCAACATTTTCAATTTTGCCGTGTTAGGCTTTCTTTAGGGATTCTATTTTTATATATTTAATAACGAATTTTCTGTTTAAAAATATCACAAAAACAAAATTCTGATTCTCATTTAACTTATTTATTTATTTATTTATTTATTTATTCCCATTAATATTATTTTAGATATCATTATTATAATCATATTTCAAAAATGTTATGTTTGTGTAAAAGCAACTCACCTAAAAATCTAAGCATGGTTATAATATTTCTCTATAATATAAACAAGCATTCACAAAAGTTACATAATATCATTGCAAAACAAGAATGCAGGGATATATTTATATATGTTTTCTAAATTACTTAAATGGAGAATTTGTCATAAATAGTGACATTTCTACATAAACGGTAACGGTAATTACTGTTAATCGCCTCAGCTAACTGTCAGCAAGTTTTAAAATGTCATGTTTCAAGAGCAGATTTACAGGATAAAGATATATGTTAGTAGAAAAATGTGAAAATAATAACAAAATAGAGCAAATAAGAATCCTTAAAGAAAGCCCAACAAGGCTTAATTGATATTGTTGCAGGCCTTGTTTGATTGAGACTGTTCATGGACGGTACTGTCAAGTGCAATCTATCGTTCACGCCCCCTAGCACCGGCTTAAAAGCAGAATCCAACATTTTATCATGAACTGGTACATTTTTAATTTTGAAATATCCGCAGATGTGTTCATATGACTGTTATCATGGAACCTTCAATGTGACACGCAAGTAACGAGTGTAGATGTTTGGGCATTTAAAGTACGCATTTTTGTCTTGAATAACTCTTGAACCTTTTTATTTGGTCACATAGTCCAAGGTTATAAAATAAAATACACATTCTTTCTACCATGTTACCAAGTCAATATTTTTACATCAAATGTCAAACTATTCCGTATAAGTACAAATACTAATAACTGGCCATTGTGGCAAATTATAACAATTATGCCACATTTTCTCTGCTTATTAATTTTCCAAGCCTGTGGGAAAATGAGTGTTTAAATAAAGCTCTGATAATAAGCTGAAGTAATTGCAATTTGTGTTGTATGTAAATGGTCAAAAATATTTTTTTTTCTATCAAAGATCATAACAAAATCATCGTTCTTTAAGCTTTCGGTTACATTGCTATTCAGTCTTAAAAATAGGGACCTATTATATAACATTGGAATACATCTTCTTAAGAAAATGTTACATGTTTTAGGTAAGAATATGTCTCATATATTTACTTTTAGAATCACAACTTTGTCATCCAATAGCATTGAAAATGGTTTTGTTATTACATTTATGTTCCGAAAATTTTCGGAATAACTAAATTTAAAGATAAATGTACGAAAAGTTTTAAAATCATGTTTTTATTGCTATGTTATGTTAGGTTATGTTATCTTATACATTCAATATTCACACATATGACACATACTCTATTTATTTTCTAGATTGTTATCTCGTTTTCTAGCTTTATTTAAAAAATGAGACATAACAAGGTGAAACAATAACATTATCAGATAATTTAAATTTCTTCTAAACAAGTTTATATATGATTTTAATGTTAAATATATGTATTTTACAAATATACGCAGAGCGGGCCAAGGACATGAATTCCATGCATTTTAATTTCTACAGTATTTGTTGCTCTACTCGGACAACTAAAAATGATTGAAAGCAGTTGTGGATATGAACATATAAATCAAAATATCAGGATTCATGCAGGAAGAAAGAATACCTGAATGACATATTTACTGATCAATTTAATGATGGCGAACTCAAGTCGGAAGTGTTTCTAGAGAAGCTAGTGTCTACTTGCAGGTAGTGTATCATCCATATGTGGAATATATGTTTATCTTCATGGACCATTTGTTAAAAAATAAACTTATTCGGTGTCACATTTGTGTTTGATTATTTGCATGTTTTCTTTTTTTATTTGAATAAAATTATTATATGCCGACATTACAGCATTCCTGGTGGAGGAAGATCTCGGATGCTCCGCCTGGTATTATTTCTTGAACGTATCTTTTGTAGGCTGAATAGTTGCTAGATTCAGACCATTCTATAAAGGCAAATTTTTCAGTAAAGTGTCATGTTTCTATTGTGTTTAAAGTCTACAATAAAAACATGTTAAGTATTTTGTCACTTTGATGGATCGAAGTCAGTATACTGTGTTATTGCACTTTAATGAATACCTCAATTTAAAAAAAAATGAGATATCATACAAACCAACGTCCATTTAAACACTTCGTGGATATAACTTTAATATTCACACAATAGCTAGTGCCGAAACGTATCGCACTGAATATTCGATGTGACCGCTGTATTAACACATCTACAGATGTTTCTAAATTTACAATTTCACCATAAACATAATTAAATGTTGAAGTCTGCTTAAGCCGATGCTAGGGTGCGTTGAAAGTAACTTGCACTTTCCAGTAACGTCCATGATCAGACTCAATCAAACCGAGCATGCAACATTTTCAGCTTTGTCGTTCTTGGCATTCTCTTTATTTTTCTTCGTGTAGCAATTACGCTGAATACTCCAAATGTGGCAATTGTACTGCCAAACACGTGTGTCATGAGGAACAAGATAGATTAAAGGAAATCCTGGTTGAAAGATGGTCAATCTACTGTGACGATGACCAGCCATCAAGTTGGCTAATATCAAATATCACTATTTTATAAAAGATGATTATAATGATAATCATAATGATATGGTTACATAGACAGTGAAGATAAATGATCTCTACTGAAAACTTTTATATGAAATAAAGTGTAATGTTGTAGTGATTAATGCTTCCGAGGGATCACACTTTTTCCAGATTCTCTTACTTCATAAAGGCAGGTGTCAAGTGTTGTGTGGCATCTGTAATAAGCTGCCCCGTACTTTACTTCAATGTTGTTATATTTGGGCCTTCGGGATCATTGATTCTAACACTTTAAGTGTTGAAAATTAAGTACCACCCAAGCCGGTGATATGGGACGTGAGGAATGTTGCAATTTTTCATCATCCCTCATGTACGGCCTCAATCAAACCGAGTCTGCAGTTTTCATGTATTTTTATTGTAGTAGAGGCTTCCGAGGGTTCACACTTAATCCAGGTTTTTATTAAGTACTGTATGAACAAACTCGTTAACGATTTATTCATTACAACTTTAAACAGCACAATGTCATTTTTAATTAGTAGAAACAATCCTTTAATGATTAAATATTTTTGACAAAAATGTTATAACTGTTTAATCCTCTGTATTTAAGTATTTCAAGATGGATTAAGTTACAATGCCTCGTGTGGATCCACGTTTAGGACAACGCTACATTCTTGCCTACCTCCACAGCCTCCCGAGTATAGTAGCAAAGTATAGACGTCTCTGTCTGCTCTAGATGGCGAATACAGAAAGTAAGTGCCACACGTATCATATCCCTTTATACATTTCCTTATTCGCTGGTACACACGACTAACGTGTATGGAATTCTTATGTAGTCATTATACTTTATTAACTTAAAGTACAATACTGAATTGTATTGGCCACAAACGTTAATTGGACAAAGGAGTTTTGAAAAGGTTTTGCATTAATAAAATCAGTAGTCGACACAATAACACAAAACGACCTTTTTGACAGAACTTAAAAGCTTTTAAAAGTACTATTTTGGTTTGATATGTACTTTTTTGGCTCGAAAAAATGAAAACAATGATGCTATATTTAGTAGAAAAATGATTTGATATAAAGTTTGGACGAACTGTGAAAAAAAGATGCTATATTGATACAAAGACTGGATACACATATTATTTCTAACTATTGCATTCTGTTTACACCGGTGATAAGGGGGTGGACGGTAGCATGTATTTCCATCAACCTTCATGAACAGACTCAATCAAACCGAGCGTTTTATTTATATTGCAGAATACCAGTGGGGCAAACGCTTTAAAGTTGTGAAATTAATACATTTGTTTAAAATTAATAACAACTTTGACCTGATTAGAACAATAAAGATGGTAAGAAATTTATACACCTGTCTGAAAGAACTTTCAAGAGGTATTTTGGTAATTAAGGTAGAAAGTGAAACAATTTATATCACTGATAGAGTCGGTAGGGATAATTTAACGTTATTCAGACTATTTTGTTATCTTTATTAGTATGTACTATCTGTATGTTTATATTTCAAATTTAGATTGGGCTGATAATATACTACTTAACTTTTGCTAAGCACCATAATTTAATTGCTATAGTATTAAGTTTAAAAAGATTTCTTTCAAAATCTGATTTGCAATGTTTTGAGATAGTCCTGTGACATGAATTCGTGTTGAGACGTACCGGCTACATGATACACACGCCAGGAGGCATGCTAGAGGTCGGCAAAGGATCACAACACCAGCTTAGAATCGGTTTCTGGTCGTAAAGGCACGTCGTACAAGGTTTTCGGCAGCAACTTCTCTTCGAAAACACCTTGCTTATGCTGCGGGTGTCCGTGTTTCCACGCAGGCGATATACGTAGAAGGCTGCATGAAGGTAATTTGCAGCCGTTAAGACTTTGCATACGTGTCCTGTTGACGCGACGACAACGCTATGCCCGTTTGGAATAGACCATGGAGCAGACACGGTTGACCATGCAAACTGGAGATATGTTCCGTTCACTGATGAGTCCAGGTTATGCCTTTACTTCACAAATAGGCGTGCTAGAATCTTGAGAAGACGATGTTAAAGGTTTCAGGCTGCAAATATTGCTGTGCATGACCGCTACGGAGGTTGATCAGTTATGGTGTGGGGAGGCATTAGCTGGGACGGACGAACCGACCTTGTTGTTCTAAATAGAGGCACATTGATAATCCGGCGGTAAAAAGACGACGTCATAGACAGCCACTTTAGGTTGTATGCTGAAGCATTCGGCGATCAGTCTATTCTAAATGCTCGTCCCCATATGACCAGGGTGGTCCAGGACTACCTAGAGAGGAATTCTATTGAGCGCATGGACTGGCCATCTGACTTAAATTGAATAAAGCTGATAAGAATGACTGCAGGTAAGAATTTCAGCTCGTCAGCTGCAAACTAGAACCATACAGGTGCTTGGAGCCATATTGGTCCACGAATGGGCAGGCATAACCGTCAGAACGATCAGAAACCTGATCTGGAGAATGAGAAGGCGCTGCCAAGCTGACATTGATGGTCACAGGTCATACACACGGCATTAAGGCTAAAACTATAAACACAAAATCCATTTTAACAAATTTGGAAAACACGCTGCATGTTCATAAAACTTCATAGAGGGGGCTATTTCTCTTCTCTAGCATAAAATCAGTTTAAAACTCTTTTATAGGGCTAAATTCGTCCTGCTTCTTGATAAAAGTGTCAATCAACAGTTAAAACCTTCCGCACGGAGTTTATGAAATAATCCTAAAATCCTAAAAAATATACACTCAAACATATGATGCTTAGCAAAAGTTGATTAGTATAATTGTTAGTCAGTTAATATGATACAAAATAAGGGTATTTATTCATTAAGAACGGCAATTAAAGCTAAATTGAAACACGCACTTACAATTATCAAACTTCTAAGTTTAGAACATCAAAACTCTAGCGGTGGCCTTGTGGCTAGGTTGTCTGCCGCCCAGCCCAAGAATCGTAGGTTCAAGCTCTATTCAGATCATGAACATGTTTTCAAATATAACGCTTGTACTGGTTCTATTTATTGTTTAAATGAATACAGAAATTTGAAGTTTGTATTTATTCTAGTAAAATAGAAAAAGAAAGTAGTTTATTTGGAAAGATATATATATTTAAAAAATCTAAACAATCTTATGTTTTTGTAGTGTCGTGCAACATGCATTCAGCTGTAGCCTAACTGGTATTCTTAAGAACGACAATATTAACTGCGCTCAACATGGCAAGATACCTTATTAGTTAACTGGCTTGAAGTCTCGTCAGGATGGGGAATGCTATTTTACATAGATAAGGAGCAAGTTAAAACGTTACATGTATTTATTAATGAACATATTGTAGTTATACTGTTTCTTTCTGTATATATTTTCATAAATAATTTTCAGATTGATTGGAATATTTTAAACAATATATTTAAAATAATTTTTTAAAAAGGAACCTTGTCGTTTATAAAATCTTAATTTAGAAAAAATGTAGATTTAATAGATCTGTCAAGCACAGTTAGTTTTTGTAACATATAATAATTGAATCATTGTTGTTTGTTTTTGTTTCACATAGAATATGAGATGCTAAGACGAAAAATCAACAGTTGATATGGTTGACTTTTAACAGCAAACAATCATTGCCATGAAAAAATCTGTAGTTCTTACTTTTGTGATTCAATTTCATCACATTAAAATAAAAATATGTATAAATAGGCTTGGTATTTCTTGGAAAATGTCACGGTCAAAATCATGCTCGCCTTGCTTCTTTATCATATACTAAGCAAATGTGGTAAAGTTATTGTCACAATCATTTTTTTAAAGTGACCGTCGTCATCTTTTATCTATTTGCTGTCCTTGTTGGGGGCTAAAACGCTGATCTTCATTGTTAATTTTTACGGACATACTTAACACCATAAATATTTTGACAATAATAAATATAGTTCAATTTTGCTGACTGCAGAGTGCATTTAAATATTTTTTAAACACCTGACCTGCAAATGATTATTTACACTACGCGCTCGATATCTATCTGTATACCAACAACTTACACGTGATCTATGAAATTTAAAAAATATATTTACAAATGTCAACAAAGCTTAGCTATGTTTACAGAATGCAGTCCTCGATTACATCAAATCACACATGGACAAATTTTGGTGAGGGTGATAAAATTATATTTGTAATTTAATACATGCTCGCTTTTTTTTGAAGATAATGGGCGTAATTATCTTAAAGGCGTAAAAGAAAATTTTGTAAAAACAAGTTAATAATTTTATTTTTGTCTAACAAGAATATAGTACTGACTGTTTCTTCAGTGTCAACCCGAATTAGTTCAACATAAAGAAGATGATTGGTACAATAACAATCTTAAGTTATTTAAGAGGTATTGAAAATCGTTTAGGAAAGACCTAGTTACGAATTTCATGCGACATAGAGAGAGTGTACGAGGAAGATATCTAACTTACACATTGTCATGTTATTGGCTTGCGCAATGGCTGATGATTACGGGTCAGATGGCGTTATATCTCAAACACATGCTCACATGCACAATGGTTATTTTTTAACACGGCGCACATATTTGCAAGATCTTTTATCAATGTTTTGCTTTTAACGACCTTATGCCCACTAAAGTGTATCTTTTGAGTGCAAAGGTAAAAGTCAAAATAATGCTTTACACTTTGCCTTGATCGTGTTCAAATTTATACTTTACTATGCAAAAAGCATTTGTTGCTGGCACAATTTCACGTGGTGTTTGCTCCTTAGCATATATTCAATATGAATTCATTTGTTTTAAATATATGCTAGTAGTTCAATAGAGCTGTTGAAAACATTGGAAAGAAAATTTGTCCATGTAAGAACTCCAAATAACTTCAATGGAATATCATTTTGTACGTAAATTATGGTTATTCTAACATTAACGACAATTATATGGTAATCGCTTCAGCTAATTGTCAGCAAAGTTCCAAATGTCATATCTCGGAATAAATGGACGGGATAAAAGGTTAAAGGTATTCAAAAATGAA